TATATATATATATATATATATATATATATATATATATATTATTTTTAAATTATTTTAATCCTTAATATATTATTTATTTCTAAATATATTAATATTTATAAGATATAGTATTATATCGTATAGAATAATTTGAGAGAATGGAGAATTCATGGAAACAAGAACACATAGGTAAAGGTAAACGTAATAAAGGAGTACTCCTATCAGTTAAATTGATGGTATATACATGGTATGTTTCTCCATTCTATACATATGTGTTTACATACATATATACATGTATATCTGTATAAATAGAACCAGTAGAAACTCGAGTTCTCGATACACACGAAAATTGTCATGTTAAATGCTTTTACCTAACGAATTTTCTTCTGACAACGATACAACAACGACTCTCAAACGATTCAATATATTTGTCACGTTTCTTAAACGTCTCACCTATCCTTTCGAATTGTTTAAAGTTTAAACAATCGTTTAAACAATCGTGATTTCAGTGAACACACAACATGAACAACACGAAAATAGTTTTATAAGAATTTGTTTACTTTGCTTGTTGTTGTTTTTTTTTCCTATTAAATTTTTGTCCAAATACAAAACGCAAGTCTCATATCTCACAACTTCAAATCCCTTATCACGTACACACATATACGCACCCTTTCCCCCTACTTCTCCCCCCCTCTTTTATCTTTCCAAACGTAATCTCGTGCAATAACTTTAGCTAACTTTCGTTTTACCGTTAACACGTTAAATGCAACTGTCACCCACTTCAGTAATCGATGACTGACACTTAAACCTTTTTTTGTTTTCACTTCTAAACAACAGGGATTTTTGTTTTGTTAAATACATTCTATAAAATATAGGAATTAGGATTATTTAAAAAAAAATTGAATGAAATTCATTGAAAGTACAGATTTTATTTGAAATTCACACCTATGTGTTAATCGTTTGACAAAATTGATTTTAAGTCAACGAATTATCTTATACCGTTATCTGTTAGAATCTTATCGAATGAACAGACATAATCATGACTCTTTGTTAATAAACAAATAATTCGATTATAAATTGAAATATAAACTATCCTATCTTTCAAATTGGATGAAACTGCATACAGTGTGTAAAATTTGATTAAAATCCGTTCAGTAGTTTAGGAGTCCATTGCGAATAAACAACGTGACACATAATTTATATATATATTAAGATATTTTGTTTGAATTATTTTTTCAGATATTACGCTATAGTACATCCTATGAGAGCACAATACACCTGTACAATAAGTCAAGCAAGAAAAATCGTAATTATCACCTGGGCTGCTTCATTTCTTTTAGGTATACCAATGGTATTCACTCAGGTAAATAATATTGTTCTTTGATTTTATTTGATAATTGAATATTTTGTCACGATGTGGAAAAACGATCCCCCCCATCCGGTATCCTCTTGAAATTCCTCACCCTTCCACTATCCATTGGAATGCATTTACCGAAAACGATGTCTGTGGAACCGACAAATTGAAAAAAAAAAAAAAAGAAAATAAAAGGAAATAAAAAACCAAAAAAAAAACAAAAAATCCTCTCAAACGCAGAAAGCAATCAGAGACAGGTTTATATTTCACTACCACCCTTTACACAATTCGATTTTCTTTTTTTTTTTTGGTGTGCAAATGCAGTTAACTTCTCAGTTACGTTTTGTTCATTTGTATGTTTGTTTGTTTTGTTTTGTTTTGTTTGTAATTCAATAGTTTATCTAAGCACTCGTTGTAAGTGGTGATAAAATAAAAATAAAAATAAAAATAAAAATAAAAATAGAAATAAAACTAGTAATAAAACGAAAATAAAATCGTTCGCAGATTTTGTTTAACTTTTTGAAAATTTTCTTGTCTTTTTTCCATTTCAAATATTTCACCATTCCCATTAACCATTATTTTGTTTTTTATTTAATTTAATTGTTATGGGATTATTAATTTAGTTACAAATATAGAAAAATTAATTTGCGTTTTCATTTCGTTGATAATTTTTTATTTTGCAATTGCACAAAATTTTATATATTTCATTAATTAATATAATTATAATATTAATTTATTACAATTAAATATAAATAAAGTAAATTTAAATTAAATAGAAAATTAAAATATAAATTGAATTAATATTTTTGTCAAAGTTAATTAATTTTGACAAATTTTTGAAAAAAAAACAAAATTCACCGGAAACTTTTATCAATGTTCACCTGAATAAATTTTGTAATTTTGTTGTTGTTGTTGTTGTTATTTAAAAAGTTTTTCCATTTCGTTTTAAATAACGATTGAATAGAAAAAGAAAAAAAAAACCTATGAAGTATCGAAGGACGATTTTTTAACCCTTTTTTTTACTTTTTTTTTTTTAACTTTCAGTCTCTACTTTCCTTTTTTGTAACATTTTGTACTTTTTCTCTTTTCTTTCTTCCTTCTTTCCTTCTTTCCATTTTTCCCTGATGTGGCTCCTCTTCCTAGTTAAAACAGAAAGAGAGAAAGAGAGAAAAAGAGAGAGAGAGAGAGAGAGAGAGAGAGAAAGAGAAAGAGAAAGAAAAATTGAGTTTTACGATAGATAAAAGAGGTAAAAAGGTATCACACACATGGAAAATGGGTATGGAAAGTGATGGGTTGGGTTTGGTACGTCGAGTGTCCGTTACCACTTCGTTTTCTAGGAAAAAATCCTGACGTTTATTCGAATGTCAAAAGAAAGAAAGAAAGAAAGAAAGAAAAAAAAAAAAAGAAGTTATATTTCGATCGATGAAATCTGTCGATGCAATTGCTGATTGTGCGAATTCATAAATGTATGAATGTGTGATAGGATACGTTCATACATGAAATTGGTTATACTATTTTTAAATCAAACGAAATCTCAATTTCATCATACTTTTCTTATCTATTTTTTTTTTGTTTTATCATCGTCGAATTTTATTATTTTTTCTCTACAGAATTTTTCTTTATTTGTGTGTGTGTGTGTGTTTGTGTGTGTAGAACGTTTACCTTTAGACGTTCGTTTAAATTTGTACAACATTCTCGTAGAATATTATAATCTCTTTACTATTCAAGTTTATTTAATTTTTCATCTCGTTTCATTTCGTTTCATATTTTATTTTTTTTTTTTAATTTACTGGCTTTTTTTTGGGGGGGTTTTTTTTTCTTTCTGCATAAGAAAATATATATATATATATATATATATATATATATATATGTGTGTATGTGTATGTACGTTTAAATAGGAACGTTTTTAAAATAAAAATTTGTTACTTGATTTTTTATTTTCTATCTTTATTCACATGTTTCTTTTAGAATGTGTGTGTATGATTTTAATTTTTAATATTAAAAATACTTAATATATTATTTATTTGTAATATTAATTTTTATGTTTTTTTAATTTTTAATATTAAAAAACATGATATGGGAATACAATATAATTTTTGTTTAAAAATAATAAAAGTGTCAAATAATGAAAGTAAATATATTTCAATATATTGAAATATTTTATTATACAATTAGTTAATAAAATATTAAATTTGGGTTTTAGAGGCATAAAGAAGTTGGACAAAGGGTTATAGCATATTGGTGTGTTCGTGATCCCGATGCTGCATTTTTATGGAAAGCACATGAAGTTTATATGCTTGTGCTAGTTCTTGTATTACCACTTACAGTTATGGCATTTTGTTATACTGCAATTTGTTGGGAAATTTGGAAAGTTATGAAACGACGTTACCATATGACCTCGAGACACGCGTAAGTAACTTAAATTTTTTTTTTTTAAATAATAATATAATATTATTCATTAATATATTAGGTCGAGTCATAAGTAACTTCCAATGCGTTTATGTTAAATCTATTTTTCGTATTTACCTATTACTAGGGGTTCCCTGCAACGCGTTGCTGTGCTGACTCACAATCAGTCCGATACACACGTCAATAAAATAATATTGTGATTATAAATTGAGATATAAACTATCCTATTTTTCAAGTTAGATGAAACTGCACACAGTGTGTAAAATTTGATTAAATTCGGTTCAGTAGTTTAGGAGTCCATTGCGAACAAACAACGTGACACGTAATTTATATATATATATTAAGATATAAGTCACCGAAACTAACGAATTTTTGATATCACTGTACAGATGAGAATTCAGTTTAGTCTTCTGTCAACCTTTTTTTATGTAATCAATGTTACATTTAACATTTTTTCTTAACCACTGTAATGGATAGTAAAAAGTGCATATTCGACCATGTAATGCTTTAAGAATTGAAACAAGGCAATTAGCACTAAAGTGGCAACTGAAAAAAATATACAGCATATACAGTGCAGGACTTGATAACTGATAGGGCAGTTAGAAATTGATTTGTAAAATTCCGTTACTGGAGATACGAGCTTAAAAGATGAACCGAGTGTAGGGACGTATTTCCAACTTTGATGAACCTTTTAAAGGTATTATTGAGAGCAAAATCCAATAGATATGTTGAACAATTGCAAAGAGTGCGAAAAAAAAACAAAAAACTCGATGAAAGGTGTCTTGCACTTATCAGTCGCAGAAAAGCGTCCATTCTTTGTCTCATAAAAAAAGGGAAGTTATTTATGACTCGACCTAATATATCCTATATAGGTCGTATACTTATCACCAATCTGTCATAAAGTTCATTTCTTTCACATCAATCGAAGTTTTCTTAACCATAAAATAAGATAAATTGTACAAATCAACAAAGTTTACGAAAAGATAATCTTCAAGTATTAGTATCTATAGATAACAACTTTAAAACAGAACGTTTGTAACTTTTAATTCTTTTTCTTAACAAAAGATAGGAAATTTTTGATTTACTTTACCAATGATAGAAAACAAAATACAAAAACAAAAAGAAGAAGAAGAAAATGAAGTAAATAAAATAAAATAAAAAAGTAAAGAAAAGATTTTGTTTTTTTTTTTTCTTTTTTTTAATAAAAGTGAGATGATAAAAAGTTCAGATAGAAAAAGTAACTTGTATTAAAACAAATATACAATTTAATTACGATCATAGTTTAAATGTAATAAAAATAATCCAAGTTGGAGTTTGGATTTTGACGATAAACAGGATGAAAATTTCTAAATGCATCTTACGAAAATGTTTCCTTCTTTTTTTTTTTTTT